TCTTATATTATATACATGAATGCCTTCTAAGTAGTTTATTCAAACCTTTACAAAGAAAGAAAGCAAGTCATGCAAGTTTATGGTTAAGTACTTAGCAACTTGCCAACTTTGTTAAGTGTGATGATGCATCCTTGCTTTTGGATATTACAAAAAAAAAAAAAACTTAGATCAAAAGCGCGTAGAAATATAAAGATAGTGCAATCATCAAATGTTAGTCCTCTAATTTTTTTTTTCTAAATGATTAAAAAAAGTCTCCCACTATATAAAAGTATAAATTTAACATCTTTACTCTTTAAATTAGGGTATCAATATTTAACACAACCTAAAATTCGACTTGGACCCAACTCTAAAACTTACATGTTTGGGTCAACATGTTTAATATACGAGTCGAGTTCGGGTTCGGAAAGTCGATATGTTTTAAAAATCGGGTCGGGGTCAGGGTGACCCGGTTGACCCATTTAGAAAACCCTAGGCTCATGCGTGAGACGTGGTTTCTGCATGCCGTCTTCTGTCAGGTCGAGGCGGCAGCTTCTCCAACCCTTAAAGCTTCGGGTTCCGCGACTTCCGGCGTCCTTCCTCTATCATTTGCTAGGCCGAGGCACCAGCTTGTCCGGCCGTCTCTATCGTTTGTGGTCTTCCCTATGCCCGCACAAAGCCCCTCCATGAAGACTGCGATGTCCGCACTTCGCAAGCTCGTCCACGGTTCGTGGGTCGGGTCCGATCAATTCGTAACCCGTGCGGGTTGGGTCAGGGTTGGATTTCCTGACCCGTTTGCAAAAAATGGGTCGGGTTAAGGTCAATCCGTTTAGATCCAGGAAGGGGCAGAACTAGCCTTAATTTTTAGGGAGGGGCAAACTTATAAGTAATTGTTGGTGTTGCCTCGAATGTGGCTCGACCATTCACTACAAAAAAAAAGGTTCAATAGCTACAAAAAAAAGCTAAAAAAAGAAAATGGTCGATAATGATATCTTTTAGCTACCGAAATTAACTAAGCCCTCTAAACAAAATAATTAGGAAACTCGATATTCGGGGGGGAGGGGGCGGTCAAAGGGGGCAGCGCCCCTTGGCGGACTTCGACCCGCCCGGTCAGGCATATAATAAAGATTTTTTTTTAATAGGGACTTGTTTTTTTTTTTTTTTTTTTTTTTTTGGGGGGGGGATGCATTTTGACACCCCTACTTTAAATAATGAATTTTTGCTAGATTATTTAGGCCTTTATTTAAAAAATAAAGAAACTAAAATGAGACTTCTAAGTAGTTGTAGGCCTTTTTGATCATTTGTAAGGAGTTATGAGATCAATTTGATCCTAATCTCAATGTGTTAATTAGATTACCCAGATATTACAATTCTTAACTAATGTTAATCCTTATAATTAGTTTATAATTATAACCCTAAACCAAAGGCCACAAAACACTGAAAGTGCAAAGAGTGCAGAGCTTCATTCCTAATTCAGTAGTCCACAATGACAATCTTATGATCATTTAATTATTCATCACTCTCTTTTCATTCCTTCAATATTAATAACTTATTTAGTAACTCAGATTATAACTATAGATCTTATGCTTATGGAGAAGCATCTAAAAATTATTAAAGAAGGTGGCATTTTTTGGCTATTCTATGAGATTAATTTTTTTAATATTTCTGTGAGATATTTTCTTTTTATTTAGATTTGAAAAAAAAAACTTACATAATTATATATAGCATACAAAATTTATGCTTAATTTTTATTATAATTAAGTATGTTATAAGAACATTAGGCCAATAGATTAGAGATGCACCAAAAAAATTTAGGACTTAATATAAAAGAATATCAATATATTTTAATAAGATTTTTTTTTTCTTTAATGAGAGCTATTTGGTGGCTTGAGCTTGTGACCCAAATGGTCTATCAGAGCTTTAGGTTTGGGTCGAGGGCTCGACCTAATAGTTTGGCTTTATTTCACTTCTATTGTTTTGAGTTTGTTTGAATTTTATGCCAATAAGTTAGAGAGAAATCATTGATCAATTATTTGGATTGATTAGAAAAAGTGGTAATTGTTGACCTGGTCGCATCGAGTAGCAGGATCTGGCTGGCGGTCATGGATGGAAGACAGAAACTTCAACTAGTTGAGTTCGGCGAGAACAGTGGTCGAGATCGGGAGAGATGTCAGCCTGTAAGAGGTAAGTCACAAAGCTAACTTTTTTCCTGTTCGGTTCTGAGAGAGCGTGAGCGTGCGAATGGGGGTTGCCTTTGGTTTTTAGATAGACTTGCGGGAATTTGTCGTGGGGTAAAAGTTAAGAGGGCGTACTCCACTTAGCTCGCCCAATAATACAGGATGAAAACTAGAATTCTACATTGATACAAATAGCTTTTTTTTTTCAAAAAAAAAAATATTTATATTGAAAGTATCTAGAATATGCAACTTAAATATGAAGCAAATTAAGCAATAATATTACACCTAAACGTCATTCTCTCAATCCAAATTTCCATATGGCTACAAAGTGATTTTGAGCTGGATGCATGAAACTACCAATGACTTGAAGAAAAAAACGTTCATTACATGACCTTAAAGTCTCTTTGGAAAGCAAAATCTTCACTAATATATTTTGATTATTGACTAATTAGAAAATGACTAAGCAACTATACAGTTCTATAGAATCAGAACTTCAATGCAAAGGGAAGAAAAAATTTATCCTGAACTTCATAAATCCTTTTTATTGCTCCAATTAATCGATAATGTCTTTTATAAAACTATCTTTAGATATAGTTTGACATAAATCAATAAGTTACAGTATTTGTTTCTTTTAAGTACTTTTCGTTAACAGTAAAGCAAATACATTTATTTTGAACCGTATTATGCTCCTAAAGGTCAGCTCTATTCCAAGCATTGTGGATTGAGGTTTCGTTTGGGACAGCTTTTAGCTGCTTCTTAAAGAAGCTTTTTAGTATAAATTTTTTAATATTTGTACTAAAAAATTACTTTAAGAAGCAGCAAGAAAGTCATCCCAAACAAAGCCTGAATGTCATGACATTTCTGTAAAATAAATGTTGTGTAATTTTCTATTTACTTTGCTTGGATTTCTCCATGAAAATTAGCTCGAACAATTTTTTTTTTATTATAGATCATTTGTTCAAATTTAAGTATGTGCCACATAGGCATCATTATCAAATGATTTTGGGACTATTGGATTTATGTTATTGAGTTGCTCAATTTGATTATAAACATATAAGATTTAGATATGATTTGATGCATCAATTAATATAGCGACTTTATTAAATATTGTTCATTCTGACTTATGTCAGATCATCTTTGATCTCATTAGATTCTTCTTTTAGAGACAATCAGTTTGATTATTATTTAATTGAAATTAGAATTCGGCTTATCATAAATTTAATTCAAGAAGTTTCTAAAAATACATCGAAATTCATGCTGATCAAGTAAAATTTTTTTAGACTTATCAATCACAAAAACTAAATAAATAAATTTGAAGGTGATTTCGAAAAATTCTCTAGAATAAAATTCACTTCTCAATTTATGAATATAATTTCAGAAAATTTTATTAATCATTACTCATTCTTTATATCAAATAAATATTTAAACATTACATTACAAATGAATTTAATTATTTTGAAAAAAGTGCAATGTTAATTGTTCTTTGTGAAACAATCAAGATCAAGAGTTGGCCTCATGTGCATAAGAAATTATTACATGCGATTACCAGAACATTCAGAGACGAATCAAAATGTGTCATGTTATCTGTTACACATCAGAACACAGTACTGATACACAATAAAAAAAATGACATTACGCATCCTGATTTTACCTCCAGATAGTATTCGGTGACTGCACGTAATAATTTCACCATATGCATGCATTACTTTCTAAAAAAGACATAAATAAAAATCATACTTTATGCTCTCAAGTTTCAATTTTCAAATATTATTTTTATACATAAATCCAAATAACTCTCATATATTATCAGATTATTATATATATGCATACAATAAATGTGTGAACATTCAACTAAAATAATTACATATAGCCTTTTAATTGTATCATTCATGCATATCTGAACCTAATAAAATTTTCATCGAAAATACAACAAATATTTCTTTTTTCTGATCATGAGAGCACGAAGCACAAATTTATTAGTTGTTAGAAGGAAGACAAAGCCTCTTTATCACTCACCTATTACACTATTTGCAAAGAGGGCCAATGTTCACATATATGCATGAGAAAAAGAACATATAAATACTTAGCTAAATTTTTTTCATCTACGTATATAAACAAATTTGTTCTATTTTTCCAAAGAGATTCCTTGGCTTGCAATTTTCACACTTGGCCATGCTTCAAGTGTGAACCCTATGACAAGGGAGAAAAACTATAGAAAGAAAACAGTTAGAAAAAAGAAGATAAAATATTTATGTTTGTTTGGGACGACTTTCTTACTAATTCTTAGAGCAAGTTTTTAGTAAAAAAATTAAAATTTTTATATTAAAAGCTGGTTTAAGAAGAAGCAATAAGAACGTCGTTCCAAAAGAAGCCTAAGGCGTCATTTGGGACGGCTTTCTTACTGCTTATTAAAGTATCTTTTTAGTATAACAATTCAATATTTGTACTAAAAAGCCGCTTTAAGAAGAGTGGGAAAGCGGTCTCAAATGAAGCCTAATTAGTCTCCTAAGAGTACATTCCCTTAAAGAATTTTCTTGTATGAAGGATGCAGATAATTTCCCCTCTCCCCTCTACTTTAAGAACAAAGGAAAGAGAGAAAAAGAATGGCTTTTTTCTTTTTTCGGGTTGATTTACAATACAGGGAAGACTTGGACGCGTCCGCGCTTGCAAAGTAAGCAAAGGAAACAAGCAGCGGATGATGTGGCGTTTTCTCCGATCCCACTTCGCACGTGTGGAGCCCCCTCTGACACGTGTGTCCCTTCACTCGCATTCTTCTTCAAGTCCATCTCCTTTCCCCCTCTTGTTTATAAAGGAAGGTGGTGCGCCCTGTTTCCACTGCTCTTCTCTCTTCATTGCTCCTTCTCTACCTCTCTTTTGCTTTGTTGTTGATATTTGAAGAAGAGGAGTAGAGAAGAATGGGAAGGCAGCCTTGTTGTGATAAGGTTGGGCTGAAGAAGGGGCCTTGGACGACAGAGGAAGACAAGAAGCTCATCAGCTTTATCCTCAACAATGGCCAATGCTGCTGGAGAGCTGTGCCTAAGCTTGCAGGTCCTCCAAGCTTTGAATCACTCTGGTTCCTCTATTGCTTGAAGAGCTTTCTGGTTAATTTTCTCTTAGAAATGTTGGATTCCATAAGTAAAGAAGTTTTCCTTTTATGATGTGAATTTTGCATGTTTGCTAATTTTGGAGAAAGTGAGAGGCAAAGATTTATTTATTTATTTATTGTAGTTATGTGGAGAAGGGGAAGTGGAGAAATTAATCTTTTTACTTTCATGTTTTTTTATGGTATATTCTGATTAAAATTATGTAAATATTGGGCAATGGCTCCTTCTTTCCTCTCCCTATTCTACCTGCTGATATTTTTCTTGATTCAGCTTCTTCAGAGGAGGATAAGGTGGCTTCATCTGTCTCAGCTTTTAAATTTTTCAATAAAAATGACTTTTTTTAGACTTTCTCTTAGACTTAATTTGTCTATGAATTGACTTTCAGCAGTAGTAGATCATATTTGAACATCTTGTTCGACTTGTAGAATGTATTATCATCTTTCAGAACATGTTGCAGGCTTGCTAAGGTGCGGAAAAAGTTGCAGACTGAGATGGACAAACTATCTCCGTCCTGATTTGAAGAGAGGATTGCTCTCAGAATCCGAGGAGAAGCTGGTCATTGATCTCCATTCCCAACTTGGAAACAGGTCCCTCTCCTCCCCCATTATATTTCTCTTCCAATTACTAATCCGTTTCTCTTCACATCAAGCTGAGACTTCTTCATCTCTTTCAGGTGGTCAAAAATTGCTGCAAACCTCCCTGGAAGAACAGATAATGAGATCAAGAATCACTGGAACACGCATATAAAAAAGAAGCTAAGAAAGATGGGAATTGACCCTCTCACACACAAGCCCCTCGCTTCTGAAGAACAATTATCTCATCAATCTGAACACCATGAGGCCCCCTCCGCCTACTCCGACTTATCAACTGCGGCCAATCTCCATTGCCCACTCGACGGCCCGGAGACTTTCTGCACTGATGAAGTTCCTCTCATGGAGCCTCATGAGATCATTGTACCCTGCACTCCCTCCGCCACTCCATGCTCATCATCTTCTCGATCATCATCCTCAACAACTAAAAGAACAACATGGTCGTCGTCATCATCATCATCGTCCAATTCTTCAGTAAAAGCTGAGGAGATACAAATTCCATCCATGGAGTGGCCAGAATCAGTATCTTTCTGGGGAATGGATGATTTTATGGGATGGGACTTTATTTCTCATGATGGAGAAGGAAAGCTGAGCTCTACTGATCTTTTCAACCAGAATCAAGAGCAATGGAAGTTTGAACTATTTTGATTGCGTTACTTCTTCCTTTATTTTCTCCTTTTTCTTTTCTCCTTGCTGGTTTGTCTATCATTGTGGCAAAGATAGGTAGAAGAAATAAGTCTTACAGAGTGATTAGTCACTTTCTGTATGTTCATAATAGGAAGGTTTAATAAGTGAGAAAGAAGTTTCTTTGAATTGTTGATGTAATTTCCTCTACTGCTCAAATAGTCAAATGTATAGAGAAGTTTATTAATTCTGTATCAAAAGTCAATTTGGGAAAAATTATTCTGTGCTAGCGCCGAATGTCATCCAGAGATCAATCATAATGCGTCATGTCACCCCTTCGCTCGGTACCGTTTACGTGGATGCATCTTATTCGTCTCCAGACATAGAGCTGCATCCGGCCTCTGCACAGAACAATTTATCGGAATTTGGAGGCTAATCAATGTCAATTCTAAAGACGATTTGGCTGGTTTTATTCATTTGATCGAGGCTTTGTGTTTATCGATTTGTGAAAATATGTGATGGGATTTGATTGGTAATGTTTGGTGTACTCTCAATTTGTTGGAAAGATAATGTATTTGATGTATGCAATATCTGAATATTTCAGTAAGATACATATAGATTCCTCTTTTTATATCAAAATTATAATTTTTTTCCAATAAAGTTAAAAGTTTGTTGGCTAATTACTTTCAATTATGTGTGATTATCTCCTAATATAAAACGAGAGTAAAGAGGAGGATTGGAATAAAGTAAAGCTAAATACTTATTCATTTCAGGTCTTCAGAAATAATTTTAAACTAATTCACTGATTAGGGGTGTCAATTTCTAACCCGACCTGAAACCTGACCTGGACCCGACCCAGAAAAATCCGGATTCGGGTTGACCCGTTTAGCAAACGGGTCGGGTTCGGGTTCAAATTTTTGACCTGTTTTAAAAACGGTCAGACTCGGGTTGACATGAGAACCCAAAATCAAACCGACACTGACCCGAAAGTCTACTCCAACCCGGTTTCCGCCCACACTCGCGACGTCGCCAGGCTCCAGTCGTTGCGCTCGCACGGTGACGCGGTCTCGCACTTGCATGCGAACTCCGCGGTCCACCCATTGTCGCACAGTGCGCACGACTCAGCCGGTCAGCCGGTAAGCCCGCGCCTCGAACTCGCGCAGTCGCGGCGTCGCGTCTTCGCTCCGTCGCGCGATCCCGCCTCCTGCGGACTCCGTCCGCACACGCAGTCCCGCTGAGGCGCGGACCCTGTCCGCACTCGCATCATTGCGCGGTCCGCGGACTCCGCCTTATGTCACACGGGTCGGGTCGGGTCAACCCGTCAACAAGCCCGGGTCGAGTCCGAGTTGAAATGTCCAACCCGTTTGCAAGAACGAGTCGGGTTCGGGTTGACCCGTTTAGATCCGGGTCAAGTCGGGTTTGATCTGAACCCGACCCGTCGACGCAAATTGACACCCCTATCACTGATTATTCAATAGTTGCTTTTCTTACTGAAAGGAGTAGATTTGGCATAGAATGCAAGCTTAATCTAATGTACATTACGCCTTTTGTGATAATTGAATGAGAAAAAAAATTTAGTTTTTTTGTATATTGAGGCTATTACAGCACATAAGTGAAGTTTATGATGTGCTCTATATATCATTTTTAAGAAAGTAGGTTAAAAATATATATAACGAAGTAGAAAATGAGAAAAATACGAGTTATTTTTATGATCCTTCTACTACCAGGAAAGAGTAAGACAACACTGAGATTGTCCCTTAAACACGTTTGAAAAATCTTATCATAGGAGTGAATTATGTGAAACTCTTTATGTAAGAGAAATTAAACTCTTAAACATCGAGGCGTCTTTTGGTGTAATGGATGAAATTTTATTAAGAAACTCTATAGTTAAGCATGTTCATCCCAGAGAAATTCTGAGATGGGTGACATCCTAGAAAATTACACTAATAAGACAAAACCGTGAAGCCCTTAGGCTAAAGCGAACAATATATATCTTGATAGTTAAGAGTTTGGGCTATTACATGTGAGACCTCGTTCCTTTGCTGTAGCTGTAGCTGCTGGAAAAAGTGATTTTTTTCCCAGGATCGTCCGGGACGATTTTAGATCGTCCAGGCCGATCTGCACTGTAGAAAATATCGGCCTGCAGATAGTTCTGGGAGTCGTCCAGGACGATCGATTTTGGTCTGATCGTCCCGGGACGATGTAGCGATCGGCCGGGCCGATCCCACTAATGATATAAGGAAATGAGCTCGTTTTGAGGAGAGAGAAAACATTTTATAAAATCAGATATTTTGAGGAGAGAGAAAGGGCGGAAAAGCAAAGGAAGAAGTCTGATTTCGGGGCCCGCGGAGCAATTTTCGTCGTTCGTTGCTGTTGGATATTTTGTTTGTCTCGCTGTAAGGATTCCGAACCCTACTTCTGTTTTCAAAGATTTTGAGATTTTGCGAAATGGTGCTCAGATTTGTGTTTTTGTAAGTGATTTTCGTACCCGGTTTGGTACTGGCAAAGATTTCACCGCGTAACTTTTGGTATGTTGTAGACGTGATTATTCTGCACGTTTTGATTATTTTCTGGCAGATTTCGTCCGGTTCGTTTTGGTTCTGCGGAGTTTTATTTTGACTGCAATTTATTATGATGTCCGAACTGGTTTGAGCAGTAGGAGAATAGTCTTATAATGTTGCTGTGCACGTTCTGTATTAATTTGGTGAATTGTAATTTTTGGAGATTTTTGTGTAAATTTGACAGACTGCCGTTACTCTGCCCGATTTTCGTACGATTTCTGATTTGATTGAAATTGATAGATTGAATTGATATGTGCATGACTATTGATATGATCGTTTTAGATTTCTTTATTATTGATTATTGCATCGATTATTGCATTGAACTGATTGATACTGAAAGACAAGTGGGAACATGGTTGAACGTTGGTTGGAGATAGACTTGACCTGTACAGGATGGTGGGCCGACGGGCTTTCCTTTAAATCATAGACCATAGATCATCGATATAACGATTGGGAGTTATAAGGAGTTTTATATGCCGACGGGCGGCCGACGGGCAAAAGAGTGACGACTCTTCTTGATAGAACCAACGTGCGGATATCTACAACAGCAATACGGATTCTACAACAGCACTATTGATAATAGCCAGTTAATCTGGTTGATGTCTACAACAGCACTATTGATAATAGCCAGTTAATCTGGTTGATGTCTACAACAGCACTATTGATAATAGCCAGTTAATCTGGTTGATGTCTACAACAGCACTATTGATAATAGCCAGTTAACCTGGTTGATGTCTACAACAGCACTATTGATAATAGCCAGTTAATCTGGTTGATGTCTACAACAGCACTATTGATAATAGCCAGTTAATCTGGTTGATGTCTACAACAGCACTATTGATAATAGCCAGTTAATCTGGTTGATGTCTACAACAGCACTATTGATAATAGCTAGTGTTTGTGCTTGTCGAGTAAGACCATTGTATGGAATTGCATGTGCATAGTACGGATTTCC